ATTTCCACGTGATAAGCCACTTCGTTGAGCTATCATTTGTGGCCAGGTCGCTTCTGAAAAAAAGCTACGTAGCTCAGTGGGGCCTTCCCTGGTAAAATAAAAAAAAATTAAGTCATCGTTTATATTCTTTGGGTCTTTCGGTAAAGTCACGTAGATAGGCTTTCTTTGAACCTATCTATGTGACTTTACCGAAAGACTCAATATTAATTCCGAAAGTCATAAAAGCTTTAAGTCAAGATTTAGGTCATAGTTTATTTTTAAACTCCAACAAACTGGTTTATATTATAGTGCGCTAACCACTGTGCCACCGGTCCTCCCATTCATTGGCTAGGCATATCGACGACCAAATATCCTTTGGACAAATGTCCTGTAGCCAGACTGGGAACCCCTGTTTCTTCCCACCAAACATCCACGTGTTCAGGCGCTTTTAGCCTTCTTTTGTCTCACCGTTGCAAACGCGGAATTTAAAACAAGCAGCCGGCTCTTTGGGGGGAAAAAAAAAATGCTGTCGGACTGCAGGATCCAGCCCGCTAATTGCTTCAGCGAAAACTCGCCGCAATCACGCTGCATTACTGGCGCCGGTGCTCTCGGGAGACCCTCGCGGACGCGCTGCTGTCCAAATTCGCACAATGACACGGGGGGTGGGGGGGGGGGTGGCTGCTGTTGCTGCTGGGGATCCAAATGCCTTTGGATGAGCGCATGCCAGGGAGGTGAAGAGAAACGCACTGAACCAGGAAGCTCCACTTCTCTGGCAGAGCGTGGTCGAAACCCCTTTTGTTGTCTCTGTTTTTGGTTGGAATCGAACAAATAAACACCGTCGCTCTCTCGGCTCGAGGGTGAAAGGTTTGAAGGCGAACAGCACCTGCGTGCAGGGCCGCGTTCGGGGGGTGGAGTGCCCGAACGGGAGACATTTAGCTCTCTGATGTGTGTGTTTGGCTTCTGCCCAGTGGTGTTCGGTGCGGTGGTGGTGGTGGTGGTGCGAGAGTTTTGCTCCGGGAAAGCTTCCGACATCGTGCCGAGATAAACACGCGCTACAAACACGCGCCGCGGCCACCGGAAAACACACGGAGAGCTGTAATAATAGAGCGACGTGCCGCAAAAACTCCAGAGGCCCTGCGACCCCGTAAAAAAAGAACAATACAGTTACATTATTTTTACGAAGCAAAGAAGGACCGTTTATTTTGCGTTGTCGTTTCAATCCCAACAATGTACACGATTTTACCCTCCAATGATTGCCGTCTTATTTGGCTGTTAAAATTTAATCCTCTAATTTTCCCCATCTGATACTAGCGAAGGTTGGGGATAGTCGTTGTGTGCGCGGCTGTGTCTGTCTGCAGGTTCTTCACAGGTGCTCACAAACCGCACTTGCCCCAACAGTCTGTTAGGGCTATGAGGGAGATCTTTGTCTGTACTTGTGTCTATGTATTATGTTCAGTATGTGACTGTATATTGACGTGTCTATTTGCGTCTGCATGTAGGAAGCAGTAGTGTGGTAGTTAGCGTGCTGCACTACGAATCCGGCGACGAGGGTTTGATTCCTGTGCCAGCCTCCATAGAGCGCCACGGTGGAGAGATGTGAATTACCTCGCCTGGTTTCTAGAAGGTTGTGGGTTCGATCCTGACCCCCAGATGCTTGTATAATTGGAGTTTGCATCTTCTCCCCGTGGTCGTATGGAATTTTTCACCAGGTCCTCCAGTTTTCCTCCACATATAGAAACGTGTTTAGAGTCATTTGGCTGATATAAATTTCCACGTGAATAGCCACTTCGTTAAGTTATCATTTGTGGCCTGGTCGCTTCAAAAAAAGAGCTATATATCTCAGTGGGCCTTACCTGATAAAATACAAAAAAATTGTTTAGTTTATAGGTGCTCGCTTAACAGCACTTGCTCCTTCAGTCTGTTAAGGCTATACTGGAGATCTTTGTGTGTAATAATGAGAATGGGGGAGGAGAGGTGGTGGTGGGGTGGGGGATTTTCTGGTGCAAAGATAACTCAAACTTGAGCTCGGGCATGCAGTGGCAATCGTTTTCAAACGATGTGTTCCAACAACACGGTCGTCTTACGTATGTTACTGCGTAGTTTTAAAAAACAAACACGCGCTATTGCTCTCACGGTTGCCAAACACGCCGTCCGAGTTTTGCAAACATTGTGGGCGTCCTCATGCGGGGTTGTGGGTGCGCCTGCGCGCGAGTGCTTCCCCGGTATGGAGGCGAATGTGCACAGCGGAGCCGGTGTCTGTGAGCTTACTTGGCAAGCAGGCGTGCGTAAGTGGGGCATCCACTCGATCGCGTTTGCGTACGGGGCGGTATAAAAAATACTTTCATGGCTTCGCCGGCGCCAGTGTTGAGCATTATGTCGCTGCTGTTTTTTAGGCCTTGATCTTCCTTGAAATTAATTGTGAATTAGCGGCGCCGCACGTTTAATTAACGAAATAATTAATTTTGGAGTTGTGATACCAAATAATAGCATGTTGCGTATCTATCAAGGGCTAACAAGGTTCCTTATAATAAGCTTATTTTTGTACACATCGCCACATCACACAAATATTAACGGATGCAGCAATCAACCGCTAACCACACATTCCCTTCTCGTAAGCTGTGCATATTTGGAAAATGCCATCGTCCAAAATCATGTATAAAAGAGAAGATTATATTTTGAAGTCCAACAAGGCATTTTGCTTTACCTGCGGTCTTAGTCTGCTGCTGGATGAACGCTTCCTGACACCATCACGCCGTGTCAGTTGTGGGAGGTTTTATTGGCCATACTTCATCACGCTGGTCAGAGCAGGCAGATGAAGAAGTGGGTGGGGGAGGAGGGTGAAGGGCAGGACCTGTTCTGGTATCGCTCGTCACCGATGTTAGTCGTGGCCGGGAATCAAAAACCAGGCTGTCGAGCTCATGGTGCAATGCGCGAACCAGAAGCCATTACGGGATTAATACTCTTCAAATACAGCACAGTACAATACTGTCATGGACTCTTGTAAACAGCAACACAGAAAGCTAGGGAGGTGATGCGTACATTGATAAAAAAAAACACAACCGTGAGCATCATGTTTAAATAAGCTTGCGTAAATATGTTGTGACATTCTCAGGGCTGTGAAAATTGTCGGCTCAAAGAAACGGTGACAATGAATCTAAAACAATTTCGAGTGTTTGTCTTCTGTGCCCGTCATCTTTAAACGGAGGTGCACGTGTTTACTGGACATCTGTAAAAAAAGAGCTTTTTGCTCATCGGATTCCTCCAGCATAAATAAATATTCAGATTCTAAAAAAATATTCTGAACCCGTTACTTATAACAGACCCGGTGGGGGCAATGCGCTCAATTGCAAGGTCACACGTTAACATTTTGGTGGGGTTCAACCGAACCTTTCATCCCTTGAGGGTTAATAAAATGAGAATCTTTTTTTTGCAAAGTCCAGAGCTGTTCTATTGGCACATTCACCAGCGTAATTCTACCACTGGCTCAGTCAGAGCTGTAAATAGAAGATAAGCACCTCCCACTGCTCAAATTAGTGGGAAACGACTCTGATTTTCCCATGTGTACAGATGAAGCATTTGTTGAAGCAGTAGGCCATTTGACTTGAATATAACCGAGGCTTAAAATAATAATAATGTTTTATATAGCATCTTATAACGGCTGAAAAAACACAGGCAAGCTGGAAGGCTACCAGTTGGCGAAGCAGCGCCAATAATTTCCCAAGCTTTGCGGTCCTCTAAACATGAAGATGTTTTCAGCAAATTGTTGAGTGTTCATACATGCGATCATCGGAATGAAGTTGGAAAATGTCCCTTCAGATTGGCCCTTGCTATGTTTATCACCGTTGCACCGTTCCCCGAAGCCGTGCCTGAACACTTTCTGGGAGAGTCTTTCGACGCAATAGAGAAAAAAAGCTGTCCTTTATGAGAATGATAAAACCTTGTTAAACAATTTCCTTGTTAGGCGGTGAAATGTGAATTAAATGCCCATTACTTTTTTTTGCAGCGCTCGTAATTAACCAGCTAAGCATACACCGTGAATCATGCAGGAGAAGCCCTCTCAGATCTGTTTCACGCACGAATGCACTTTTACAGCGGATCACGGAGCCCGGGGTGGGAGTAGTAGGGGAGGCGGAGTGGCGGCGGTCCTGGTCTGGGCAGTGTGATTATGGCTTCGGGGGGGGGGGGGGGGTTATTGTTGGTGAATTTTCACCCCGCACGGCTGGAATTTTCCGCGGATTTTATAGCTGCTGACATCCATAACCATTGCAAGCTTCCCACAGGTCCATAGCGGCCTTTGCTGATGAGTGTGATCAGAAAATTGTGATAACATAAATGATAAGCGGCACAGTCGTCATTCTTTGTTGTTTTGCTTGAGTTTTAGTCCCATTTATTGTTTTGAACTAATATTATTAAAAACAATATGTTAATAATATAATTGAATTATTATTTTATTGCGAGTCTAGATCTCAAATGCCTGTTGTCAGGAGCGCCACGGTGCCGAGATGGTATACAGAAGGTCGTGGGTTCGATCTCAACCCTGACGCCTGCTGTATATTTGGACTTTGCAGTGTCTCTCTCCCCGTGTCACGTGGCTTTTTCTCCGGGTCCTCCGGTTTTTCCCTCCACATTTAGAAACAACGTGCGTTTCGGGATATTCGGCTGCTATACATTTCCACATGATTAGCCACTTAATTGAGCTATCATTCGAAAAAGAGCTGTATCGCTCAGTCGGGGTCTTCCCTGGTAACTAAAAAAATAGTTTCATTTAGTTAAAATTATTTTAAGCGTTTCATCTCAATCCATTTAAAATATTTCAGCGGAATCACAATGGAGTGCACGTGGCAGAATATTAGCCACCAAAGGAACTCTCAAACAAAACACCCCGTTTGCCGTCACGATCCCCAAAAGACCTTTTTTCTCGTCGAGAGCTGGGACAGCTTTGGTTAAGTGCACTTAAGCAAGCCTCACTAACCAACTTTCTCTCGCCCGCGCCGTTTCGTAAATTTCGTGTGTCGCTGCAGGGAACACAACAGCTGGCTTCAGCTGGACAGGCGGGTTTTGGAGCACGACTTTCCGCGGAAATCCGGAGCCATCACGCTGCACTTCGCCGTTAGGTACGACCACCTCGCCCTCGCCCAACGCATTCCGCACGGCGATGTGAAAGGATTGCGTGGTGAAATTTAATCGATACCCCGTGAAAATAACGGGGAGTCGGGACGAGTTCGAATGAAAAACAAGCAGGTTTTTTTTTAAGGACAATTTCGGATCTTTTTTAATGTTTGGGTGTTTTTTTGATTGTCGTTTTCATCATGTACGAACGTCAAATGCCTTCCTGCTCGCAATAGCGACATTACTTGATGCCACGTGGCACTAGTTTTGGCAGAAAAAGTGAGAGTGCTGTAATATTAGTGATGTCACTTCCGGTTTGCTGATCAATCCGAAACATGAACAATGTTTGGATCATATACAATGTCGTATTGGGGCCTGATTAGTGGATTTTTTTTTGTATTAATCCAAAAACTGGGAGTGCATGTTCAACACGGGAGACATTATAGAGAAATTAGAGATTTAAAACTATCGAAACCTCTCCCCATCAATCTCAATGCACTCACACTATCTATTAACACTGGCCACTCAGGAAGATCTCGAGCCATCGATACCACAATACTCAATCTCTTGTTGATAAAAAAAAAAGTAGGAGGGGCATTAGAAATCAGTGGGGCATCTATAAATCTATCACAGCCTAAGTTACACATCAGTGTAAATGAGGTCGATTCATTTTTCTCTGCCTGTTTATAATGTATTTATTGAGTTTGTTCATTCATGTTTCTTCCTTAGGCCGTTAACCTCGAAGGTTTATGTTTTTTTAATGTTATCATTTGTAGATCTTATTTAAAAATTAGTACGGAAATAACCAAAGTAAAAAAATGGAGTGTTTGGCATTGGACATGCGTGGTGGTTAAACGGCAAACCAAAGCCGAAGAACATACAAAGAGCAAGACCCAATACTGTAACAGCCCTCCCCCCCTCCCCCCCATTAAACTTAATCTGGCCCTGGTTGTAGCAGGAGCTGATGGATTCGTGAATTTAAACCCTCGTGGGAGCAGCCCTGAAGTCTGAGTTCGGGGTGCCCTCTATTGGCAGGGGTTTTATTAATGCGCTGAACCCGAAAGCACCTCGACACAATGGACCCATGGCAAGCGTGCAAGCCAGCCAGAAGAGTGCCAGTATGAGCCTCAAATCTCAAAAGTCCCCAATTTGATCTGCATCTGCACGCAGCGTTCAGTTCAGTTGCGCACACGAGCACGTTTAAATTTCGTGATTCATTTAATTATCCAGCAAATGTATGTCAAAGTGGGGGCAGTGGAGCGAATACGTTCTGACCCGCGCCCTACTGGACATCTGCGGAAAAAAGAGCTTCGTGGCTCATCGGATTTCTCCAGTATACATAAAGATTCCGATTTTTTTTTCCTCTCTCTCTCTCTCTGCCAAGTTGCTCACGAGGGTTGTTTGGCCATACTCTTCCGTGCCGGGTCAGCAAGGGTCGGTGAAAGGGGGCAGACCGCACAACCGCTTCAGATATCACCCGCTGCTGACGTCAGCCCTTCACCGGGAATCAATCGCGAGCCAAGGCAGAGCACCTCCCCCCCCCACCTCCCTCAGGTTGTTGAGCCCAGGCACGACTCTCCGGGATTTAGTGGCAATTATTATTTATTTATCATTCACGGCCCGCCGGAATAACACTGTCAGCCCCCTCGGTCACAATGGGTTTAGCGTGGCTGTGTTTCAGGCGGCAGCGTGCACTACCGTTGGGGGAAAATCTGAGAGTCACGTGAGGTGGCTGTGGTTTTTTTGGGAGGGCCTTCATCCAGCAGTGGATTGGCCCATGGCTAATGATGCTGATGATGAATATGATTACGTACTATCACACTGACTCCACTGTAAAGCGTACAGGAATATTGGTTGCGTTACTCATCTCCGTTAGAGGTCCTTGGCCACTCGCGGATGCTCCATGTTTCTATGGTGGGGGCAGAATCTCTCCTCAGCAATGATCAATGTTGACTTCACACAATTCGTTGCTCATTTTTATTAACTCGGAGGAGGCGATAGACTGAGTTCGATCCCTGACTGGGGTTTGAACTCCCGACCATCCGATTGCGAGCTGCGTGCTCCGACCACTGCGCTACCAGGCCAGAATGTAAACATTGGGTGCAACGCTTTTACGCACGTGAACTGTGTAAGTATGCAATATCGGCAAATTCGAGCTCAGGTTCTCAGCCAGCAGTTGGCAGAGCCAATAGAGAGCTTCTCGAATTGTCCAGGATGTTTCAGTTCGTTTTATTTGTTACACAGATGATCCCTTTTAAGCTCGTTGCCCGGCTAGTTTACAAGTGAAATCTGGAGGAGTGCAGAGTTCTTCAGGGATATTGCACAACTCACGAACAAAAGTGTTTAGTGGTCGTAAACGAATCGCACGCACAATACAAAAAAATTACGGTGCAAATATAATGTCAGTGCGAGAGGTGCCACAAAAAGGTAGGTATAGGTGCAAGTCAGCTCCTTATATTACTCTGGCAGTGACATAAACACACACACACACATTGAAAAAGACAGCGCACATGTGTGGGAGCAAGGGTTGCAAGTGTGCCCATGTGTTTTGGTTGAATAGGGAAATACAGAAGGGGGAGTGAAGGAAGGGAACCAAAGCTGTAGTTAAGTTGCAGGGGTATTCCAGAAGCGTGGAGCGGCAATGCAGCAAAACATGTGAGGCTGTGGTGGAGGGAGTTAGCGGAACTGAGCGGTAAGGTGTTTAGGTGGTGAACAGAGGGGTGAACACTATCTTCTTCTTTCGTCTGGACTAAGAGCGTCAGATTAAAGATGTAATGTTTTATTTGTTATCCACTCGGTTGTCTGTTCAGACGCAGAGTGGATCTCGTCCGCTCTTCCTTTAAAGGAGTTACGGCAGCAGCAGCAGCGGCCGAGTGTTTATGATGATGGTCGACGGTTTGGGATTTTTAACTAACACTCACGGGCCGCCGAATCTTCGGTGCGCCATTTGAACCTTATGTTGGAATCCCGGGGTCCCATAAGCCCCCGGCTCTCGCATAAACTACGTTACGACGTCATTTTGTGTCTGTCGAAGGCGAACGATACGGCAGTCTATTCCTCTCGACGAGCTCTGCACGGTGCACTAATCACAGTTTCAAATTTGGGTTCTTCTGCTCATTCGTCCTCGCTGCTGCGCTTAGACGACACGACAACAGAGCGATCCGCGCCAGCCGGGTCGCGGCGTTCATGTGCGCGGTGGGACGGGGTCACCAAAAATAAATGACTTAATTACGATTTTGACTCACGTTTATTCGGGACCCTGGGGTCCTGCCATAAGGTTCAATTTGTGCATCAGGTGGCCGTACCGGCCACATGGACCCGGTCCCGCTTCGGTTGATGGATCGATCATTGGACGCCACCTAACGTGAAACGCTGTGCAACATACAGAGACAAGATGCACACATGGTGAACGTGCTGCGTTGCCCCTCCCAGGTTTTACATTGAGAGCGTCACCTACCTGAAGGACAATGCCACGGTGGAGCTTTTCTTCCTCAACGCCAAATCCCGCATCACCAAGGTAAGGACGCCCCCGCCCCCCACACACACACGGCAGTGAATGGGAAGGGCTCTCCTTGCGCTTTCCCTGACTCCGCTTAGTCTTTGTAACGTGGACATTGCAACGCGGTCATTGTAACGTGGACATTGTAACGTGGACATTGTAACGTGGACATTGTAACGTGGACATTGTAACGTGGACATTGTAACGCGGCCATTGTAACGTGGCCATTTTAATGTGGCCATTGTAACGCGGTCATTGTAACGTGGACATTATGACGTGGACATTGTAACGTGGACATTGTAACGCGGCCATTGTAACGTGGCCATTGTAACGTGACCATTGTAACGTGGTCATTGTAACGTGGCCATTGCAACGTGGACATTGTAACGTGGACATTGTATCGCGGTCATTGTAACGCGGTCATTGTAACGCAGCCATTGTAACGTGGCCATTTTAATGTGGCCATTGTAACGCGGTCATTGTAACGCAATCATTCTAACGTGGCAATTGTAACATAGTCATTGCAACGGTCTTTTTTTCTTCTGACCGACTCGCCCAGAATGCACCTGATTCTTGTGGGCCTCGCAAGCTAAGCAGGTTTCAGCCTGGATAGCACTCGGATGGGGCGACCACGATGTGCGAGGTCAGGAATTGGAGGTTGCTATGGGGTTACGTTGCCAGTAGAGGGCAGTGCCGCTAAATGCATCGTTGCACTGTACCTGCATGCTCCCACATCCACGCTTGCCTGCCTTTGCAAACTGGAACTGACAAACGTGGTGATGTATGGTAACCCCCCACCCTCCCACGACTTGGCACGGTGTGTCCAGAGGCACTCGTCCAGCAGTGGATTGACGACAACAAAAACTGTCTGTATATGTAGATAGTGACCATAAAATAGTTGGTATTAATGGAAAAAATTGTTATGTGATAATCAGAAAGGCGATTTTCAATACATTTCGTTTCGCCGGCAGATACAATCAGCCCCCCCCCCCCACAACAAGGGTACACAATACACATGGCGCAGTGTGGTGGTACACATGGGTATACATGGGTACACAATACACATCGGGCAGTTTGATGGTACACATGGGAGGGGGGGAGCGGTCATTGTTAAGAGAGCGAGCGTGTCGGAGGAGGGGGCTCTCAGGGAATTTAGATTTAGCGAGGAATTTATTGAAGCTGTCATTAATGAATCACATTTAATAAACGCAGTGGCATGGTCATGTGTCATTGTTTAGTGGTAGTATTTCAAAGGGCGGGTATGAGAATGTCTGAAGAAGCACTTTTCAAATACATGTCAATCTAGGATTGTCCATTTTAACTGGAGCACGTTTCCATATTCTCCGCATTGTCAAATAAAATCCCGCGGATATATTTAAAGCAAACGTTTGTGGTTCGTCTTATAATCCGGAGCATCTCATAAAAATATGGTAACAACTTGTATAAATGTATGTAAAATACAATGATCGGGGTGTAACGATCCACAACCCTGACCATTGTTATCTATTGTGATTCGGATGTTGTATTTCGATTTACAAATCAATACTTTTTTGCACTTTAGTGAAAATTCACAATTTTTTCTTGCACATGGCGATATGTTCAATAGCTGAATGCCAATGCCGAGGTCTGCTAGCCACGAGAGGAGGGCTTCAGGAGAAAGTTGGTGACTATAGCCTCCGCAAGTGGCATCCGGTGTCACGTGAGCCCATAGCTTTCAATGTATCTGTATTAAAAAAAAAAAATCCCCAGTTCCTGTACACGCATTTGAATGAACGTATCGTGAGCTTAGCAGTCGTTGCACCGTTACGCCCCGCCACATGGCGTTCAGTCTCGTGGCGCCTCCGATTAGCACGGTTGGCTCCGTACGGCACGAAAGAAGTCCAGTAGACGCACTCCGCGTGGGGATATAGACACGTGCAAGGTACAGCAAGCCTAGCTCCTGCTCACTGTTGAGGCTCCGTCTGCACTGCGCGAGGATGCAAGAGACGGCGCGTTGTAAAACCTTCATCTTCCTGGGGCGTGCAACTCATCACCAATTTGTGATAGCGTCCCTGCGAAGACAGCTGTGATAACCCGCCGCCGCTTCGCCAGGAGACGGAGGGGAGCGTTTGCTCGCGAGAGCTGGGTTTCCATCATCCTATCCCCGGGACCTCGGTAGGCGGGGAGTGGGGAGGGGAGCGAATATTCGTAACGTAACCTGTGAACAATGCGTGGGAGTGCATTGAGCGCGGCGAAATTGCACAGGAAGCTCACGTTGGTCTCGTACCCCAAGTGTCCAAGGTCACAGCTGTGGTTCTTTTTGTGTTTTCTTTCCCACTCGACGTGGATGTAGGGAAGGTGCCATACACATTGTCCAATTCAATGCCGTGTGCGATTTAGAAACCTTAGAGGGTAACGGATCACCGCCCCCAGCCCACTCCCCGCCTCGAGATCCGATGAACTGTCGTGATTCATGGTCATGATTCGATTCAAGATTGATTGTGGTTGTGTGTACGTAGCCAACCGTGCTAATCGGAGGCGCGCGGGGGAAGGACGACAAACTAAAAATATAGCTGCCTATAGAGCCTGCAGACGTTCATTTGAACCCACTACATACAACATAAGTATAATGAATGAAAAACTAAATAAAAAAATATCTATTCTAGAGGTGGCCAAGTGGCTCAAGGGTTAGAGTGCTGAGCTAGCACTGCTGACATCATGAGTTCAAATCGAGGCAGCTGCCAGTGATTAAACCGAGTGTCAACCCAAGTCACCACTGACTGACTGCACACAAAAAAACCCCATCACGTTAAATTTGGCTCTGCGCTTAATTTGGCTCAAATCCAGCTCTGCGGATGAAAAATTACCGTTTTTGACTGTCACGCGATGAACATTACTCTCAGTGGTAGAGCAGGTAGAAAAGCCGTACCTTCTGCCATGTGGAGCAGAGGTCACTTTGACGGGATCTCAGTGGTAGCTCTGTGATATCCGCATCCGTGAGCCATCCTCCACCACGAAGGGTTGCACTGCTCTGTGAGTGATACGTATGAATTATTCGTCTCATCACGTGCCTGCGATAGCACAGTTGGGATAGAATTCCAGATAAGGACGTGAATCACACATGCAATGTAATGCATGCATTGTGAGCTTATTTGACCATACGGTAACCCATTAGAATCCATTTTAATTTTAGCAAAGGAGGCATTGTTATTTATTTACGTATTAATACTTATAATGTTCATTATTTGAAGTCAAGTAAGATCTATTTTACCACAAATTCTGATTCCAAATAACAGTATAGTTCACAAGCCTATTGATTGCCCCTTTTGCACCGGTGTTTACTTGCAGCGGTGTTTACTTGCAGAAGTGTTTACTTGCAGCGGTGTTTACCTGCACCAGTGTTTACCTGCAGCGGTGTTTACTTGCAGCGGTGTTTACTTGCAGCGGTGTTTACTTGCAGCGGTGTTTACTTGCAGCGGTGTTTACTTGCAGCGGTGTTTACTTGTACCAGTGTTTACTTGCAGCGGTGTTTACCTGCAGCGGTGTTTACTTGCAGCGGTGTTTACTTGCAGCAGTGTTTACTTGCAGCGGTGTTTACCTGCAGCGGTGTTTACCTGCAGCGGTGTTTACTTGCAGCAGTGTTTACTTGCAGCGGTGTTTACTTACAGCGGTGTTTACTTGCAGCGGTGTTTACCTGCAGCGGTGTTTACTTGCAGCGGTGTTTACTTACAGCGGTGTTTACTTGCAGCGGTGTTTACCTGCAGCAGTGTTTACTTGCAGCAGCGTTTACTTACAGCGGTGTTTACTTGCAGCGGTGTTTACCTGCAGCGGTGTTTACTTGCAGCGGTGTTTACTTACAGCGATCGCTTAAGCAGGCAAATCCCACGGACGGTTTCGATTTGTTTGAGCCTCATTATCACAGAGTAACCTCTTCAACGAATGCTGTTACGTGTTATGTATGGCGGCCTGTGGTGATGGTGGTGGTTAGTGCGCTACGCTACGAGCCCGGCGACCAGAATTCTAATCCCGTCCATGGCTGACATTCAGCGGCGATCTTCTGCCCTGGTCCGGGGCCTACCCATCACCAATCCACACTGACCGAAGTAAAGCCAAACAATCCCCAAAGCGGACATACGGTTCGGGGGAGGCCTTCGTACCATCTTACGTGGGGCCCGGCAAAACAATACGAGACGTATAAATGTGCGGTCACGGTGGAGCAAAATTGGTCAAGTAGGACCCTATTCTGATTAACCAAAACGCTATGTATGGTCGTTGTACTTCTTTTGCACCGTGTGCAGGCAACCGTGCTAATGGAGGTGTCATTGTAGTTTGTGTTGTGGATGCCAGAAAAGACTGCTGTTCATGTGTCGGTGCACCAACTGTTGTCACCTTCTCACCAAGCTGCTTGGCAATGGTCTTGTAGCCCATTCCAGCCTTGTGTAGGTCTACAATCTTGTCCATGGTGGAGAGTTTGAAATCTGATTGATTGATTGCTTCTGTGGACAGGTGTCTTTTATTCAGGTAACAAGCTGAGATTAGGAGCACTCCCTTTAAGAGTGTGCTCCTAATCTCAGCTCGTTACCTGTATAAAAGACACCTGGGAGCCAGAAATCTTTCTGATTGAGAGGGGGTCAAATACTTATTTCCCTCATTAAAATGCAAATCAATTTATAACATTTTTGACATGCGTTTTTCTGGATGTTTTTGTTGTTATTCTGTCTCTCACTGTTCAAATAAACCTACCATTAAAATTATAGACTGATCATTTCTTTGTCAGTGGGCAAACGTACAAAATCAGCAGGGGATCAAATACTTTTTTCCCCTCACTGTAAGTGATGATGCTAATTCGCTCGCTCCCAGTAGAAATTACCGGGTGTGTTGCATCATAATTGAACCACAGGCTTCGGACTTTATTTAGGCTTGTCCCATGGCAAATGCAACATGAAGAGTGCACACTTGGTCGAGACTATTAACGTCTGCGCTTCGCTGACAACATTTAAGCCCTGCACGCTCGCACACACCCAATCAATTGCAGTCGG